GAGACAGCTCACTTGAGAGTCAGCGTGACCTCTTGCTTTTATTAGTCAGTGGTGATGTCTCCATCCTGATCCTCTTAGATCTCAGTGCGGCCTTTGACACCGTTGACCATCAAACCTTTACAAAACCTTTGAAAATTACTTTGGAATTTCTGGTTTAGTTTTGGCTTGGTTTAGGTCTTACCTCTCCGATAGAACGCAGGTGGTCGCCTTTGATGGCTGTCTCTCTAGCAGTGCTGACTTGGTGTACGGAGTGCCACAGTGGTCTGTTTTGGGTCCCGTCCATTTCACAATGTATACCATACCACTGCTCCTCAATTGGCAGATGACATGCAGCTATATAAGGATACCCATCCATCTCGTGTCTATTCTGCTAGCCCCACCTTGCTGGAGTGCAAAAGTGATGTCAAGTCATGGAAGACGCTCAGCAAGCTAAACGATGACAAAACGGAAGCACCCCTCATTCACAATGATGAATCATCCTCAAATTCAACTCTCCCCATCTCATTTAATGTAGGGAGCTCCTATATAGAGTTCACATCCTCTGATAGGAATCTTGGTTACATTCTTTCTGACACCATGTCTTTCAATAATAATATTTCTCGCATCTGTCACTCTGCGTACACCGCTGTCTGTGATATACGCTCCATTCGCCACAACTTCACAATTAGTGCAACAAAAAAACACGAGTCTGTGCTCTTGTTCTCTCTCGTCTTGACTATTGTAACTCTTTTCTGTCAAGTTCACCAAAAAATTTCTTAGAAAAACTGCAGAAAGTTAAAAACTCAGCTGCTAGGTTAGTTCTAAAAGCAAAGGAACGTGCTCTCATCATTCCATAATTTTACTCACTTCTTTGGCTCGCTGTACAGGCACTGATTGACTACAAGTTGTCTGTTCTCTGTCACAACTTTTTCTGTGGTTCCTGCCCTTACTATCTTACTGAACTTAGTGCCATCTATTCATCCCTCCGCAGACACGCGTACTCTGTTTGTTCCCAGAACAAGGACTAAAACATCTGGTGAACGATCTTTCTCTTACTGTGCCCCAAACAATGGAATTCTCTCCCATTACACATCCGCAATGTAACGACCATCCCAACCTTCAAAACTGCCCTCAAGACCAATCTCTTCGAACTGTACTACACCGACTCATTCTCCTCCCCCCTTCTAACTGATAAACAACGCTCGATTCTCCTGGCTGCTGTCCATGGCTCGACAGAGGTAGATATACTTGGGTGGGTGACGTCAAGCTTTTCACTTATTGTTTTTTAATATATACGTTTATGTAATTGCTAAATTTTATGTTAAGTGCAGTGAGCCTAGCCTTATGCCTGTGGTACTGCAGTGAGCCTAGCCTTAGGCTGGTGGAACTGCAGTGAGCCTAGCCATAGGCTGGTGGTACGCAGTTAACCTAGCCTTAGGCCAGTGGTACTGCAGTCAGCCTAGCCTTAGGCTGGTGGTACTGCAGTGAGCCTAGCCTTAGGCTGGTGGTACTGCAATAAGACTTTAATATTAGATTAAATTAGAATTTTAACTAACAAAAAAATTGTAAAGTAAATCCAAACAAGCTTTTGTTAACTTTATATTGTGTGTTTATCATGTAGTAAGTAATTAATCAGCGTATGCAATATTGTATGGGTACACTTCTAGTAGTAAGACTAGGCTATTATTTTGACTAATGCATAATAGGCTTTGGTACTAAAATGTTGCGAATACATGACTATAAAATAATTTTGACATTTATATCTTAACAAGTGGTGGATCTATTCACAGACCACATGGAAGTGCGCACGATTGCTTTTCTGTGTTGTAGTCTTTAAAAAAAAAAATCCACAAGATATCATAACACAAAATAAAATTAAATGAATATCAACATTTAACTGTCCATTCCATCAGAGGTCAACAACGAGAAATAGGAAAACAATGGTTTTAGTTTCTGTTTTATTTTTAATTGACAATAAATTTTAATAATTTTATTTACAACATTAATAATAGTTAACGTAAGCATGAGGTAAAAGATACTTATATTTTACTATGTAATTGTTGTATTGATTACAACTGGAGTTATCGTATTTAGAAGATTTTAAAACATGCTTGGAATGTGGAAGAATTAGGTCACTAAGTGGAATAAACTGAAGTTCGGACATTTTATTTTCTTTCTTTTTTTTATCTTTGTACGGGTTATAATTTTGCCTTCGTCAATTGCAACATAGTCAAGTAGCTTTCACACTTCGAAGTACTTTGTCAATTACAGTATAGTCAAGTAGCTTTCACACTTCGGAGTACTTCGTCAATTACAGTATAGTCAAGTAGCTTTCACACAGACTTCGGAGTACTTGGTCAATTACAGTATAGTCAAGTAGCTTTCACACTTCGGAGTACTTCGTCAATTACAGTATAGTCAAGTAGCTTTCACACTTTGAAGTACTTCGTCAATTATAGCATAGTCAAGTTGATTACTTTTTGGAAGTACTTTGTTAACTTATTCGACAGCAGCATATTTAAATAGATTTACATTGGAAGTACTTTGCTACAGACCAATAGTTTGAAGTTGGAAAAGAAAATTGTTATGAGAAATGAAATCTAATTCCCCCAACTTAATTCCCCCTAACTCCAGACTATTAAAAGATCATACCATCCTAAAATCTTGACTATTTAAAGATGATACCATCCTAAAATCTTGACTATTTAAAGATGACACCATCCTAAAATCTTGACTACTATCCAAAACTCCAGACTATTAAAAGATCCTACCATCCTAAAATCTTGACTAGTGGAAGATCATACCATCCACTAAAGACTTGATTTAAAAAATACACCATTAAATATAAACAACATTTGAAAATAATCAAATCATTGCCATGCAGATCAACATTTTGTCATCTTATCCACCAATTACATATTTTCATCATATCCACCAAATACATGTTTTCATCTTATCCACTAAAACATATTATCATCATCCACTCTCTAAAATTTCTTTTAAGTGACATTTTTGCTATCTCGTCCCCATTTAGTGCATCTTTCATTGATTAAGTTAACGCTAAACAGACTATATATATATCTATAATTAAATATACGTATAATGTACATAGTTTCCTTTCGTTACAGCAATTGCATGTGACATCCATGTCTAAACATATCATTATTTCAACAACATATAAAAGATTTACCATATGTTTCAAAATAGCTTCTGGACCTACTAATTGAGACAATATATAAATTATATTTACATATCTACAGTTATCATTTTGACTGAAAATGTTACGGTGAGCAGAAATAACAATGCTGTGTTATAATATAAGATAAGTTGAAAAAATAACAATGGTGAATGGAAAGATGATTCAACGTACAGAACATAACACTTCCATCGTGGTGCATGCCAAACATATTTTATAGATATAAACACACCCATATGTTAATCGTAACTTTAAAAAAGGGGCATTAATTTATTGTTTTTGGGTCAGGGCTTTGAAGCTTTTGTTGAATCACCTCCCTTTATAAGGACTTGGTAATAAAACAAATAATTATTTAAATTCACATAAATCTATAAGAAATCAAGGGACGATTCAACCAATCACAACGCCTTATGAAGGCCAAACGGGAATGAACAAATCACAGAGCCGTATGAAGACCCAAATGTGGATCAACCAATCACAGCGCTGTATGAAGACCTAAAAGGGTATCAACCAATCACAGCATAGACACGTCATAAAATGTATTGGAACAATTAAATGGTGACCTTTAAACATTTTAACTGAAAATACGCAATAATTTAATTCCAGACTATAGAGTTTACAAGAAAAAGTATCATATTTGAAATTAATGAAACTATAATGATCAAAAAGTGGATGTTTCATAATGAAATTGAGCGCTGAAAGTTCGTTAGTTAACATACACATTGTCAGAGTGCACTAGATAGTGTCATCAAATTTGAAAGAAAGAAAATGAAAATAAATACGGTGTTAGGATTTTCTCACTCCCACCCACTCACTCCCCCTTACCTTCTTATTACCAATGTATATACATATATATCTCTCACTCTATCTCTCTCTCACTCTCTACCTCTTACTCCCTTTCCCGTTCTTGCTTTTACGCATCCCTTCTCCAGTCCAAATCTATTTCCTCTTTGTCGATTAATTTGCCATTGACTCTTACAAACTTTCTAAAATATTCAGTCATCAACAATATTATATACCTCAACTTTGGACATGTACACAAATTACATGTTTTACAATCAGTAACATATCACGTGATAACATTCTCACCCCACTCACAAATATAAGCAACTTGAGCAGTTCGTCTGAGCAGGTGTCTTGACCAGTTGTCTTCTCCAGGTGTCTTCGTCTAGTGTGTCTATAAAAAAGATAATTTCAGTAAACTATTTGGATGTCGCCGTCAAGTCATGTCTGATTTCTAAGCACAATTGCCATGGATTATGTCTTGTCGTTGTAAAATAACGGTCAATTGTCATTGTATATTGATCTTTCATTGGGACTGATCACTGGTGTAGACTGATGGTCAACAGGGCACATTGACAGCTGCCGCGGTGCCAACTGGGCAATTGGGTAGATGATTTAGTGACTATAGGGCACGTTGACAGCTGAATCATTGTCTACTGGGCATAATGACAGCTGAATCTATGTCTACGGGCACATAAACAGCCGGCTTATTGTCTACAAGGAACATGGACAGCTTAATCATTGTTTTACAGGGCCACCTGATTCGGTGTCTACAGGGTTCATTATCATCTGACTCAGTTTCTACAGGGCACATCGATGGTTGAATCTGTGATTACATTGGAGATTGACAGCAGACTCAGTGCCTACAGGGCACATTGAAAGTTGACTCAGTTTCTACAGGGCACTTTGATGGTTGAATCAGTGTCCACATCGCAAATTGACATTTGACTTAGTGCCTACAGGGCACAATGATAGTTGACTCTGTTTCTACAGGGCACGTTAATGGTTGAATCAGTGTCTACATCGCAAATTGACAGTTGACTCAGTGCCTACAGGGCACATTGGCGGCGTAGTTACAAATCTTGAGGCTGGCATCAAACCTCGTGCCGTCGGGACACGCCATGAGGTGGGGTGGGAATGCTCTCCAGTTTCCGGGGAGGCACATGATGAAATGGTCACATGACAAGGGGTCAGGGAATGTCCCTACGCCCTCGGACCTGCAGACTTCCTGTCTCACTGTGTACAGCAAAAAAACGAAACATTTTAATAAAATGAAATAAAAATTGATCGAAACTACTTTATTTTCTATCTATTGAGAAGTCTTACCTTTTTAATTTTTATTTTATTACGACTGGAATCTTCACTTATGATGTAGACATCAAACATTTATTTGTTTTGGTAACACTATTTCATTATTACCCATAATTTATAGTTAAGGCATTATAGTAAATGTCGTGGTCTCACTATTTTGTACATGGGGTTTACAATTTACAAAAAAAAAACACAACAAGATCATGACCAAATTGTAAGAATAAGTTTGTGTGGTGAAAAATGTTTAAATAGGATAAATATGCAAAGCTGTTGACAACGCTATCTCGGAGTTTCCCAAATGAATTTGTTAAGTGGGGAATCTATATTACATCTTAAAAGATACTGGTTATGACGTAAGAGATTATAAAATTACTCCATATTATTTAGTGTGAACCGGCAGCCCCACCCAAACATCGCTTTAAAAAAAAAATCATATACATCAAGTCTAGATCCAAGGGAAGTAACTCACGTTCCACCACCAGACAAGCGCAACAACCAATCAACACTAACCGATGGTCACGTGATTATGAATTTTACCAAATAAGCTCTATGGGAAACAGCTGATCAGCGTGTTTGGACGTATTTTTAATTTACAGCTTGAATTTTGTAATTTGCTATCTGATTATTATCAAATAATTACAACAGATAGTATATAATTTAAACGAAATGGCATAATGGGGCTTACCGGAAGTAGCACTTTTGGAACTACTTTGCCTCTGCGTACTAGTCGACGGTGCAGGCTGTGGTGTGGCTATGCCCTGCGTCACGTAGATTTGTCGTCCTTTAAGGGCGTAGTCTTCTGAGAATTGGTCAGTCGTGTGGTGGTCAGGCACGCTTGCCCACCAGCGGGTGGTGTGCCAGTCGCTGACCACATAGAACTCGTCTGTCGGTAGCTCAGAGGCTGTGAGTTCACCATCTTTACTCAACTCAGCTAGAGCTTCTGTCGATGTAGGTATTCGGAACGAGTTACTTTATCATGCGGTAAAAAATATCATTCAATTTCCATTATTATTTGGTAGAAATTAGCATACAATGTCCATTATTATGTGTTTAAAATTATCATACAATATCCATTCATGTGGTAGAAATTATCACACAATGTCCATAATTAGTGGTAGAAATAATTATCATACAATTTCCATTATTATGTGTTGTAAATTATCATACTATGTCTATTACTATGTGGTAGAAATGAGAAAACAATGTCTTACACAATAAAGACTACAGGTGCCATATAACATGCAAAGACAACACTAGGAATCAGCTTTAATAAAAATGCATTACATATTTTTTTAGATCTACATTTTTTGTTGGCGTGAATTTAAAATTAATTTCAAATTCATGCATTTATATTTCTCGTGTGAAGAAGCCACAGAGCTATCATTTAGAGACCATCTTTTGATAAAGGGGGCTTTCAATCTAAGAAATTCGATGCTCTCTGATTATCATTCATTAACTTTAACCAAAGTACTTCATGGTATTTACCGTTATCGTGTTTCCTTCCACTTTTCCACCACAACATACTCGGCCTCTCCGTGGGGTGTGGTCTGTCGTAGATGTACTTGGGTCTGGACGGGATCTTGGCAAGTCTCGTGTGGTCGTTGGCCACAGGACGCGCCCACCACAGGACCTTGACGTCGGCACCCGCTTCCATTCGGTTTCCCTTAGCTTCATCAGCATCAGCCGGGGTTGTGCCCCTTGAGGGCAGTGTGTGCAAGTCAACCACGACTGGTTTGATCCAGTGAGGGATCAAATAATTGGCATCGTGCAGTCTCGTCCTCTTCAGATCGAACAGCGATGGCGTGCTCCTGGTCAGTGTGGGTTTGTCGTCGATGGCCTCAAATGATTTTGTTGCTGTCTTGTGTGGTGGTGTGAGACTATCTATCAGATTGTTGTTCATGTCTTTAGTGTCTACGTGCGACGAGCCGTGTTTCATTTCAGGAACCCCTGGAACACTCGCTGTTGGCACGATGTAATTAAACCAGTTGACCTCTTGTGATATGACCTTCGTGTCAACGACCTGTGTTGATCCGGAGCTAGAAGATTCTCCATTAGTACCGTCTTTTTCCGGTTTGTTTGCTTTTATCACGGGGTTAATTCTCTCAGAATCTTCTGGCGTCATCACTTTTTGCGTAGAATCCTCTTCACCGGAATCACTGTCTATACTTGCGCTAGGAGTTGTTCTTGGGAAGTCGACGACCGTTTGTACTTTCTGATGCTTTCCATCTTGACCAGCGGGTCTGTGGCGGGTCTGCCAGATTTCGTTCTTTTTTGTGACAGCCTGGTAGCTGGGAATGCCGTCCGGCTTATTTCCATTCGGTTCCTGCGTCGTTTTGTGCCTGATGCGTTTCTCTATCCTGAAGCTCAGCTCGTGATTGGCAGGGGTGACGCGCTCACGGGCAGCTGTCTGGGACTGGAGAAAGATAAGATACGCCATGTCACGCGGTGTCACTTCTCAAGGATCCACAAAACGGGTAACGCAGTAAATACGATATTATACAATAAAAGTTGGTCAATTTTGTTTTGATACAAGACATTGGTATTTATCCTTGCGATGCAACAGCAGTTTTGATTCTTAAAAAAGACTTTAACCATCGGAAATAACAAAAAGATTGACTCCATTACTGTAAGTTAATTGTGTGTGGGGGTTGAATGTTGAGTTTCAAAAGGCCCCCCCCCCCCCCAACCAACCCAGTCAGGAATATAAGAAACGTAATGAACTTACCACCAAGCCATGACCGAATGCATCGACTAACGTGGATATCAGTGGATACTGTCCATGGCCACACAGTCCCCGGAAGTCATCCATCTCCACGGACCAGACAAATGCTCCGGCCAGATCCCGACGAATGATATTGGCCGCCTAGATCAAATGAGTCGATTGTAGCATTTAAATTTATATAATTGTGGAAAATCTATAGAAAAATAAATTTCACGTATTAGACTGTACATTTTGGGGCCTACAAATATTTTATTTTAGCACTGAGCCTAACTTGAAAAGGAATGTCTTAAATTAAACCGATGGTGTCGGCTATAGATTTGGTTTGTTTCAATGTATCGGAAACACAACGAGTCCGTTAAGAATTGAAAACTCGGGGTACGCAAAGGTGAACCATTGATCTGATTCGATCTTTGGAAGAAATCGATTGGACGTTAAAGGGGTTGTGTAGACATTGTAGAGAAGCGGTTCTCAAACTGCGTTACATCACATTGTTACAGTTCAGACAAAAAGTTGCTACAAAGCAGCTACAGTGCTGCTGTCTCATTAAGCAAATATGCACATAGTCAACTCATTTTTATTAGGCTTTTTTTTTTAGCCTTAAAAGTTCCATTAGTTTGAAGCATGGTATGACAACTGCCTGTGGTTTTGTTATTTTTAATAATTTGTTCTTGACACAATTATTCTAAAAAAAATGAAAGTGTCAAAGTTAAAGCTCGTTGAACATTCTTGTTCACTTCTGTTGAGTGTACCAAATGTTCACTTCTATTGTGTGTACCAAATGTTCACTTCTATTGTGTGTACCAAATGTTCCTTTCTGTTACGTGTATCAAATGTTCACTTCTGTTGCTTGTATCAATATATTCACTTATGTTGGGTGTACCAAATGTTCACTTTTGTTGCGTGTATCAAATGTTCACTTATGTTGCGTGTATCAAATGTTCACTTTTGTTGCGTGTATCAAATTTTCAGTTCTGTTGCATGTACCAAATGTTCAGTTCTGTTGCGTGTACCACATGTTCAGTTCTGTTGCGTGTACCAAATGTTCAATTTATCTCGGACATCACAATGAACATAAACTGACCTTAAAGGCGAAACTCTTTGTGTTCTCATATCCCACCCACTGGTCAGTTTTGTAGGCGTAGGGCACCGATTGGTCGTCAATCCACTCATGTGTCCAGCCTTTAGTTCTCAGGTTCATGCAGACCTGCAACAAGCAACCAAAGAGCTGTCAGCCAATGGCGTAACTTGAAGGGTGCTGGGGGTTGCAAGCATCCTGAGCTGTCAGCCAATGGCATAACGAGAAGGGTGCTAGGAGTTGCGAGCATCATGAGCTGTCAGCCAATGGCATAACTAGAAGGGTGCAAGGAGTTGCGAGCATCATGAGCTGTCAGCCAATGGCATAACGAGAAGGGTGCTAGGAGTTGCGAGCATCATGAGCTGTCAGCCAATGGCATAACTAGAAGGGTGCTAGGAGTTGCGAGCATCATGAGCTGTCAGCCAATGGCATAACTAGAAGGGTGCTAGGAGTTGCGAGCATCATATGTTAGCCTGCTCATGAGACTAACACGTGTGCTGTCTCGTCCATGATACCATGTTAACGCGATAGAAAAGCTATCTACGGTCTTGGTCATTATATTATGTAAACATGACTTGAAAGCTATCTACTGTCTTGGTTATTGTACCATGTTAAAATAATAGAAAAGCTACATACTGTTTTGGTCATGGTACCATGTTAACGTGAAAAAGAAGATATATACCGTCTTTGTCATTGTGCTATGTTAACATGATAGAAAGCTACCTACTGTCTCGGTCATGATACCATGTTAACATGATAGAAAGCTACCTACGGTCTCGGTCATGATACCCTGTTAACTTGATGGAAAACCTATCTTTTTTTGTGGTCATTGGGTGGTTAGGGTAGAGTTCGTGCACTTGATAAGTTTAAATTACTTAATTAGCGTTTGAGGACCATTGTGAGAAATCTATCCTAGATTATAACATTTCTTTTGATTATAGCTGAAGCAATATTTGTTTTGACTGTTTTTGATGGCGAATTTCTTGATACTCTATATATAGAGATTGTTTAGAGACTGTCGAAAAGTAGAATTGATTTTGTTTTAGGTTTGCTGTCAACACGGTAAGCTTTCAAGGTAAATCGATGCGTCTCAAATTGTAGTAGTTCTAGCACCAACTGA